AAAAAAAAAAAAAAAAAAACGACGAACGCCGATTATATACTAATGCTCGTGCATCGATCCACTTCAGCAACCCTTAGCATACGTTATTACAAACTGGCGAAATATATCCGGATACTTGTGAGCGGCAATGCAACAACAATTCTCTCTCAACAGCTCGGCTCTCGCGAGAGAGAGTTGTCTGCGTCGGCGTCGACGATGTCCCAATCCGAGCTACAATCGTTACAACGCCGCAAAGAACCCCCATCAACCAAAATCGACAACCACGACCAAAGGGAGGAAAGAAAGAAAGAAAGAAAGAGAAAAAAAAGAACAGAAGGAAAAAAGAGATACATTCGCTCGAAACATCCTTATTCGTACATCGAGAACAGACGACACGTGTGTTGGTGAGTGAAAAGCGGCAGAGGACAAGTATAATACAATGATTTGTTAATGCTTACTGAATCGCCTGCGAAGGATCGGATCAATAGTCCTCGGACACGAACCGAAACTCAGCTGACGAGCACGTCCGGCCGGGTCACAGCACTGAACATTCTCTAAACTAAAGCCTAGAAGCGCCCAAGGGGGGAAACTTAGCGGCGCCGGGTTGCTTTCTCGCCCGCTCTCTGCAAAGAACGTATCGTATGGCGGCGGCTTGGCCTCGCCTCGCCTCGCCTCGCCTCGCCTCGGCCGAGGCAAAAGGGGATGCAACGCTGGGGTTACCGGCTTCACGCTTGCGGCCGGCGCCGCGTCGAGCGTTCGTCCACAGAGACACGAACCCGCTCGCTCGCTCGCTCGCTCTCGTGATGTTTTCGGCTGTTCCGGGACGTGGCGCGGACCTGCGCGCCTTCAGCTAGGGCGTCGGCTGGGGGTTCCGAACCGACGAACCCTTGGCTTGATAACAGTGCCACGCCATCCGTCGCTGGCAACGCATAAATCCCATCTGCCACACACGTCGAAGCGTTCATCAGCTTCGAACGACTTTGCTCGATCCGCAACCGGTGTTGTTACTTCTCTTCTGTTTCTCACTTCGATTAGGCGGTTTTTATCGTTCGGCAACGAAGGTGTTTCTTTCCCGAGCTGTGCTTCAACGATCTTCTCGATACGAAGCGTGTAACTGCATTCACGCGAATTTTTCTTTTTTTTTTTTTTTTTTTCTTTTTTGTGAGATACTTGCGAAAGGTGATTCGAAGGTCTGAGAGAATTTCTGATAGAATTCTTTTCGAGATGTTCTTCCACGAGATAATTCTTTTCGTTTTCTGCTTGCAATCGTAGATTCTTTATTATTGTATACTTTAGTATATACTATCCTCTAGAATAATAGGTTCTTTGTTATCGAGTTCTGGTTCGATTAAGACTTTCGTTTAACATCAAAATGAATTGTAAATACATGCCCCGACAACGTATAGCTCTCTAAATACTTGGACTTTTGTTTTC